TCTCTCTCTCTCTCTCTCTCTCTCTCTCTCTCTCTCTCTTTCTCTCAAGTATCCTATACTTTTTATTCAACCTCATTAGAGTATCATTACAAAGTGTTGTGTAACATAGCATGGCATCATTTCCTTCCTGGTAAGCATGGAAGATGCCCATCAGCTGTGAGAGAGCCAAAGGGTGAGTGTCCCCAAGTAATATAGCCTTCCACCATAAAAGTAGATGGAGCTGTGACACAACACCCTGTGAATGAATTCCTGACTACCAGACTCCATTCACTGATTTTTCTATAGGTCCAGCTCCAACTGGGTGACAATATCCCAGTATGTAGAACAAGGACCCTCCCCCCTTTGTGGTCAGACTAAATCCTCAGCTCTGCATCATCCTTCATAGCTTAGGAAGTTTGGCAGTCAGCAAGATACATACTAGATGAATAGGTAAGTAGTTAGGAACAGCCTCAACTTAGACTGAGAAGAGAGAAGCTGGAGGACCATACCCTGCCCACGCTTCACCTTCTGTGATTTCCCTCAGAAGCACCCATGGGGGCTTCACAGCAAAAAATTTAAACAGGCCTGACTCCAGCCTCAGTATTTCATTTCCTGATTTTACCTTGTGGGCAGTATGTTTTACAACATGGCATACAAAGAATTCATGTTTATGTTTCCTCCTTATGTGTTACTGGACAATGACTTAAAATTGCCGATTAAGACCATTCTTCAGTGCTAAGCAACATGCAACACATGGTAATACCACAAGTTATTCTGCTTAGTTCAAGTGTCACCATATGAATCTCATCAGGGATTTTGAAATATTGCAGGTTTCCCCTCAAATTGTCTTTACAGACCCTGTCTGAAAGTTACTATTTAAGTGAGTTCAGTTGTCTAAGGAAGAGCAATGTCTCCAAGTGTGGAATTTTGTTACCATCGTGACAGGATTGCAATTGCTAACTCTTTATATTTTTCCAGAGTATCTGAATTTTTATGTATTTTAATGTTTTAGTATTATTAAATAATTGGGAGCTGGAGAGATGACTCAGCAGTTAAGAGAACTCATTATTCTTACAGAAGACTCAGGTACAGTTTCTAGCAACACATGGAGGGCTGGCACTCTCTAAACACCAAGCATATGTGTGATACACATGCATACATATAGTCAGAACACTCATATGCGTAAAATAAAAATCTTTCTTAAAAATGAGCTAATAATTGAAAATGGGTTTTAAATGCTATCGAGTCAGACTATATCAACAGGCTAGATTAGCCCTCTCTTACTTGCTCACCATTTTCAACCTCTGACCTAGGATTGTTTCTAGACACTAGAATTTTGACAACCAGTAAGAATTCAATAAGAAGGCCAAAATAAACCCACTATCATTTTTTTGTATGTAGACAGGTATATTGACTTGCCTTCCTTAAAAGTTTTTCCAGTGAGTGACAGCCATTTACTTCTGATATGCGAATCACTCATGGCTACCCTTGATTTCAGTGTACTGTTACTGGTTTAATATGGGGTCAAGGGTGCTATTTGCTGCAATAGCTCTGATGTCCAAGAATGCCAAGAATGCCAGCATACCCTGGCAGAAACTCACTTTTCACACTTAAATCTAACAAAATGTTTGGCTCTGTTAACCTTAAAATAGTAAATGATGGTAGTGATACCTTATAGTAACCCTTCCCACACACTAGAAGCCCTGCCAGCTGCTTAATCCCCTTAATGTTCTTCTCACTTCTTTAGTAGATAAACATTTCTACAGATGACCAAACTTAGGTCCCAGAGAAGTGAAGGAATCATTTCTGAGAGAGGAGAAAGAAGCCTATTTCACAAGACGACCCAGCTCACCTTTGTACCCCAAATTCTTGTTTATGTCATACTTCTTGAGGTCTTCCCCAGTTTCAAAAAAAAAAAAATGTCAGCTTTGGAGCTCACCAAGCAATGGCTTAGCAACTAACTAACATACAAAAGCCAAACAGCTCAATTAGAAGTAATGAAGTCAAGTCTACGCATAGACAAAGCTGCAGAGTGTCACTAAAGTCTCTTCTAGTCCACCTGTGTCTGGTAAAGCAGCTGGTAGAGATACAGCTTTTACTCTTGATTGCAAAACTGTTAAGTAAGGTCGCGAGACATGGAGAAATCACACAACCTGCATGTGAACATGTACAGGACTTAGGGCAGCTTGCTCCATTTCCAAGCGCTACTCTTTTCTTAGCTAATGAAGGAGCACTAACAGTCTACTGCTGCGTTATAGTAGGTGCTCTGCAGGGGTTAATTCTGTGTACTCTGCATGCTCACAACTGTCAACCCCTTGCAATCTCCGTACTACCTTCACAATAGTTGGGTAACTGCATGGAACTATCTCATTCTTTTCTCTCATGGACATGAGAAACAGACAAATGGTCTCTGATCTACTGTGGTTCAATTTCTGACTTTTTCAATGATATAATAATAAATCCACAGACACCATACTTAAGACTCTGAATTATTTTCCCAGATAGCAATAAGCATACATTTTGATGCTAGTATGAACAATGACAGAAGCTTCCAGACAGATGTGTTGTCGTGGGGAAACACTGATATGACACCCCACACTGTGCTGCGAGGCTAAGCTAAGATGTCAGCTAGATTAGGTGTAGTAAGTGAATCCCACATACCTTGCTTTCAACATGTGATGAGTGAATCAGGATGTAATCCCATTTTAAGCGAAGGAGCATCTATTCTCCTCTATCAGTTACTTTTCTGTCGCTGTGATATAGGCAGCTTAAGCAAGAGAGGGATTATTTTGGCTTATGGTTACAGAGGGGTAATCATGTATCATGGCAAAGAGGCAGGAAAACAAGTAGCAGGCATGGTTACTGGAGCAGAAATCTAAGAGTTTACATCCTCTACCATAAGCACAATGCAGAGAGAGCAAACTGGAAGCAGGTGGGGCTTTTAATCTCAAATTTTGTTCTTTTTTGTTTGTTTTTTCGAGTTGTTCTTAATCACATATTTCCTCCAGTGCAGTGAATATCTAGTATGGCAGGCTTGTGTACAAAGTTAGCAGCTTTCCTGCATGCTTGAGGTTTTTTATTTCTCTGTGCTACCCCCTTTGCTGTTATTGTTAACTTTGGCATTATGAAATCAAAACTAGAATCCACAGGAACTGAAAGTATAGCATGAAGGTGTGGGTGGGCTTGGAAGGACTAAGAAAGATCTGGTAGATGAGATTAGGCTGAAATGTCAATGAATCTAAAGGCAAGAGACATCAGAGCACTTAGGACTCAGGACCAGCTGGTGAGGCTGATGGGTTAAAGGGCAGAGGTGTAGGAAGGTGAGATGGCAGACTGTTTCACAGCCAGGACTGTTCACACCATGAAACTGGGCAGGTTTTCCATTGTTGATCCCCTGCAAAATTTGCACCACTGATCATTACCTATAAGCCATGGGTGTTTCCATTTCCTTCCCTGTATTTACGTTCCAGGAAACAAACATGGTTCCCTAACAGACACTGTATCTTGTAGCGTGTGTAAATGAGTAATCAGTATAACTCCACTGTGTCCAAGGGGACACATAACTACTTTTCTTCATATTTTTTCTGGTGTGTAATGGAGAAAGTGTAAAAGTGGTGCCAAGTGAGTCAGCCTGGATGCCTTCCAAGTGACAAGTGGCATTTCCTTGGGTCCAGTCATCCTTTTAATTTTGCCTTATCTATAACATTTAACATTTCTTGAGTACTTGCTGTGTGCCACGCATT